GATGGTGGATATCGATATGGACACATGACGACCAACTTGGCAGAGGCAATCAATTCAACCTTAAAGGGTGCACGTCACTTACCTGTAGCTGCTTTGGTAAAGATTACATATTTTTGTTTGGGGGCGCTTTTTGCGAAACTCGAGGGACAAGCTCAAACCTGGATGCAAGGCGGTCATGTCTATCACCCTAGATTAGTTGCAAATCTACAGAAAAAATTGATGCATCAAATGGATGTCTGTAACAAGCTTCTCTAGAAGGCATGAAATGTTTCGTGTCACAGAGTTACCGCGACCTCTTCAAGGGATTGAAGCTGTGTCGTTAAGAGTAAATCTAAGGGACAGAATGTGCGACTGCGGGTTTTTTCAAGCTCTGAAGTATCCATGCTCTCATGTGATAGCGGTTTGCTCGCATACACGTCAAGATTATAACTATTTTGTGGATCTCGTATACCTACTATCTGAAGTTTTTAAGGTATACGAATTTGAGTTTTCCCCCCATAGGTAATGACAAAGACCCTGATGAGGTTCAAGATTGGCTTCCGATTGTACCAAATCTGAGTTTATTGAGGGAGCGTGGTCGTCCAAAATCCAATCAAATTCATTGCGATATGGATATTAGAGAAAGATCTAGACAAGACAGAAGATGTGGGCTTTGTAGAAACCCAGGACACACTAGAAAAACATGTCCACTTCTATTGTCATCAAGTAACAATTGATGAGGAAATGATGTATTTTATTGTCAAATAATAATTCTTCTACTTTAATTTGCATTTACTTCAAGTTAATATCATTTGATAATCACTGATGAAGATTAAAAAAACAAACACATTCATTAAATTTTAACAAACTAATAACAATAAGTATTAAATGGTAAATGATAACCAAATTACAATAACTGATATTAAATGGTAATAAAAAAACGAACTGAAATACATTAAAAAAGTCCAACAAATTTAACAAAATAAAGTAAGTATTAAATGAGAAATAATAAAAAAAATTACAATTTAACAAAATAAAGTAAATGTAAATATAATTAAAAACAAAATATATCGATGCCTGCGACGCGAATGTGTTCCGCAGGGCGGTGGATGTCGGTCTCGAGGAGGATTTCTTCGTATCACTGGTTCTGACTCCTCGCTGTCATCATCATCACGATCATCACCGTCATCGTCATCATCGTTGTCGTTGTCGTCGTCGTCGTCTTGCGCAGGTACATGAGGAGCTGATGACGATGAAGCACCTCCGTAGAATAAGGACCCTGGAGGTGTATGACAGACCATCCCACCGGCCTGCGAAAACTGGAAAAACTCATAAAACCCAAACATCGCTGAGTGTGAAAACTGTACAGGAGGTAGTGTCTGTGCTGCGGCCATGGATGATGAGGCTGAACCTGCCAAATATCCAGCATATGAACCCCAAGTCGGGTCTGCAAACATAGACCCATAATAGCCTCCAGGAGGGGTCATCTGTGACGGTGGCGGTGGCGGGGTCATAAAACCGGGTGAAGGCGGCGGCGGCATCTTTTAATGGAAAGGCGATGGCGGCATCATATATGGCTGCGGTGGCTGCTGGGAAGGTCCTGCTTCTGCAGCTGAGGATGAACCGGAAGCACCTGCTCTCTGTCCACGAGTCGGGGGACGATGGTGCTGTATCGGTGAACATCTCTGTCGATGTCGTGGAAATGTCTGCTCTCGTGCATCCTCAGGAAGTAGAAACGGTTTCCCGTTACTGTTGAACCACTCATAATAATCCTCAGCATACATCAGGAAGTCAGTAAAAATGGGCTCTCTACGTGGAAGACGCCGATATCGATCCTCCCACAACACGACCCACCCATGACGCCTCACCAGCCAATCTGTATCTGTCTTGCCGCATCTATCTAAGCTATGCAACTCGTCCATATTGCGAGGTGCTTCCGAAATTGGTTGAAAACAACCAAACTGCCGGAGCACGCGATCAGTAGAGTGCCACTCGACGGTAGCATAACAGGTCAGAGGGACTATCGCCATCCAAACATCTAATGAACCCCTCAACTCAGGTGGGATCACCGCCCTCACATCATCAGTAGAATATGACACCCATTCAAACTAAAACAAATAATATATAATTTTTATCAAAATAATAATCTAATTATATAACTATAATCTAAAATCGATTTTTAAACATTAAAATTCATACATGTGTGCCAGCCTTTTGATCGATTAGCACCCTTATCTTTTCTAAATCATCAGGTAGCTCCTGATGATTTTTCCTATCAGTATACCACCTATTCAAGGAAAAAATTTTGTTATACGCTGTATAAAATTATTAATATACAAAATCAGTTTTATAATTACCTCAGAAGTAGTGGAAATACGAATGGGTTCTTCACAACGGGACATAAAAAGGGCAATCGATACCATGCCCAAGATTGCAGCAGCAGGAGACATCCGCCGATAGCATTACGCCTGTAGTCAGTGGCTCCACACATCTCCCTGTACAGCAAAGCCAAAACTGCCGAGCCCTAACTGAATGATCCGGCGAGACGAAAGTCGCTAAGATGTCGCAACCACATGCAGTGAACTAGGTTGCACGATTTGTCCGGCATCAGCAACCCTCCTATCAGCTGCAATATGAATGCCCGTGCATACAGCTTAACCTCATCCTCAGAGGCGTCTGCGCTCAACTCCCGAAAATTGGCATCTAACCAATTTAATGGTATCCTACCTCCGATAAAATTTTTCGGGACACGTCCTAAACTATCCCGACACAAAGCAGTCCAAGAACCGGAAACTATCCCCGATATCACATCTCCATCCACCGAAAGCCCCAGGTGCATAGAAACATCCTCAAGTGTGATCGTGCACTCTCCGCACGGAAGATGGAATGTGTGGGTCTCTGGCCTCCACCGCTCTACTAAGGTAGAAATCAGGTCTGGCTCTATCTTACAGTGACCCTGATATCTACCTATGTAACCGAATCCAGCCTCTACTAAATACGGCAAGACACGGCTGGGTATCACTAACTTAAGATTCTTAATAAAATGATCTAATACACGGTCCTTCTCCTAAAAATAAATAATTACAAAAATTAATTCTTAATCTAATAATCATGCATTAAATGAATCAACTAATTATTAATAATAATTTAAATTAAATTAAAACGTTAAAATGTTACTGTATCAGCAAAGTGTCGAGATATTTAATTATTATTATAATAATCATGCATTAAATAAATAACTAAATATTACTGATAATTTAAATTAAATTAAAACGTTAAAATGTTACCGTATCAGCAAAGTGTAGAGATATATGATTTCCATCCGAGCGAAGTAGACTGCCTTCCATTATATATATGCAAAAGAATTATATTAGTAAAATATTAAATAAAGTAAAAATATAATAGTAAAAATATTATAAAATATACCTTAAAAAGAGAGTATTTGAGAGAAATTTAGAGAATTTGAGGAATTTGGTGTGATAAAATTGATTGAGAATGGGGTATTTATAGGGAATATGGGTTGGTAGTTAGGGGTATAGCGCGCCCCCTGCACCGCGCTATACCCCACGTGTCAGATATATATGTATAGCGCACTGCAGGGGCCGTGTCAGATATATATATGTATAGCGCACTACAGGGGCCGCGCTATACCCACGTAGCACCAGCTCACCGTATAGCACGGTGCAGGGTGCGCGCTATACCCCACGTGGCGCCAAATCATCGTATAGCGCGATGCAGGGGGCGCGCTTTACTGCTAAGGGTGTTAGATCGGGAAATATAATATGACCGGTGTTAGATCGGTAATATTACCGGTCACCGGTGATATATCGGGAAAATTGCCGTATTTACCAGTAGTAGTGTCTGCTAAAAAGACTCTTAATTAACGTTTAAATACCCTATAATATATAATGCTCGAACCTAAAATTTTTATAAATAAATAATAATTATTCCTTTAACTATTAAAGTAACATAATTCGTGACTAAAATCAATAACTATTGAAAGTAATCTTTACGAGTAGTATAAAGTTTACTATTTTTAAATATTTAAGAGAATAATACGTTAGAAACATTATTTTAGAAGGGGTATTTTTCAGAGTGTCTTTTACTAACGTGATATATTTTTGGATGAAGTTTCTAATGTTTATATTATTTATAATTAAAATGAAAAATGAGAATAATAAAGTAAGTATATTAAAAAAATAATAAAATTTATTCAAAAATAAATAATGTGCATTGTACATATCAAAGACATATCTAAACGAGCACAACTGGCAAGACAACGGCCACATATATGTATATGCTTTGTCTTCAATTACTTAATGAGTATATGTCTAAAATAATATATTTGAACACTTGAAAAAAATGCTCATAAACAAATAGCATGATATTTGGGAATCTCATTACTGAAATTTATTGATTTTGAGTTTATTCTAGTAGGTTGCCCTTTCTTTCTTTTATTGTTGTTGTAATATTTTTTTTAATACTCTGAGGTGATTTTAATTTGCAAAACAGTATATATTCATAATTTTTTTAACAATGCAACATACTCTATAATTATAAATATAGTTTCCTGAACTGTGGACCTTTAAGAAGAATGACCCTCTTCTCAATCATTAAGATTACATAATTTTCTAATCTTCAAATAATCAATAGTTAAAATCAAATCATTTCAAAAATCTAATAATCAAATTGATTTTTTTATAAATTCTAAATTTAATCTAATAAATCATTAAATATAGCGTACATAATTTTAAAAAACGCGAGTTAAATTAAAATCTAATAATTTACGTTGACAAGACAGTGAATTGAGGAAGTGCCTGAGAATCTGATCAGATCATTCGTAGCATAGTTTCTTCATCTGCGCCGTTGATCTTCTGATTGAATATTCAAAACCCAAATTCATTGAAACAAAACTCCCCACTCCCAATCCACGGTCATATTCCTACTTATTAATCCCTGTTATGCATTTATGTTTTAAATCGATCCGAATTCTCTAAGTTTCTGAAATGAAATAAAAAAAGCATGCAATTCCAAACACATGCACGCGGTCTTGTTAAAACCTCTTTTTAAGACAACAACCTGAAATTACGGTTTAATGTGTTGGAAGAGAGATGATGGGGGAGTTTCGATTATCCGTCTGAAATATATAGATGAAAGCAACCAAAGTACAAGCGATTAATATTAATTAAACCCTGTTTCAGACAAGTTATGTATGTTTAGTATAGTTAATTAAAGTGCGAGTATATTACATTTGGAGGAAGAAGGGTGCGGTATAATCTGAAAAACTAGGTAGATTTGTAGGGTTTGCAGGAATCTTTTAGGGTTTCTACGGCAGTTCACTACCCTATTTTCAGGATTTTTTTTAATAAAAAAAGTTGAAAAATCTACATTGTAATATCAATCAATCGGAAAAGTGTTGACGCTGAGTTTTTCTGACAAAATTGAAGCATCATTTATGAACCAATGGATATGAATCTGCACCCTCTTTTAATGTCAGATGAAAATTCGACGTTCTCCAGTTTCAGACCGAGTAGGCGGAAAGATCGATGAATCTATGGGTTTGCTTATTTATAAGGCTTAAATATATGAAATATGTCATTAGTTTTGTGTTTATTTTATTTTAATTTAATGCTTAACGTTTTATTATGTACCTTAACATGGATCACATCGTAATGGCTGTTAATTTTGATTATTAAATAATATGTGTTATAATTTGATAATTTTAAAAATTTTATTTAAAATTAAAAATTATATATATATATATAACACAAATTTTGAAATAAACTCAAAACTTTAAAAAATTTCATTTCAACCCCTAAATCTACGTCGGTTATTACCTTTTGTCGTCGACAAAGCTCCACCCAACCTCCCTCCCCTAGACGACCAAAATCTCCATGAAATCGTAACTGATCGACGGTCGATCGGCAATCAAAATTACGTTGGATCGAGATTTTCATTATAGGGTTTGCAGGATATAAAACGTTAATTCGTCATCAATCAGTCACGATTTTATAGGGGTTTTGGTCACTGAGGGAGGGGAGGTCGGGTGGAGCTTCGTCGATGGTAAAAAACGACGGCCGCCGTAGGTTTAGGAATTAAAATAAAAGTTTTCAAAGTTTTGGATTTATTTCAATTTTTCCTTTTTAATATATATATATATAATTTTAATTTTTTAATTTTAAATAAAAATTTTAAAATTATCAGATTGTGACATAAGCCACTTAACGTGAAAATTAGCACTGGTGTTGACAACTCAATCACATAAATAAATAACAGAATGAAACATTTAGGCGTTAAACTAAAACCAAAGACATACGTTGAACATCTTTTATATATTGAAGTATATTTATAATTTAACTGGAAACAGAATCTGTATGGCTTAAACTCAAAGCCTATCAATTATTTTAGTTTAATGGATGAAATATTAGATATTTTATTTAAATTTTTTATAGAAATCTACTAGTTTTATTAAAAAATGAAAATATCTAAAATTACAATAAAAATTTACAAGCATAACTATAAATGTAAACTAAATTATAATTAAGACATTTTCATATAACTATTGAGACAAAAACTAGTCACCTAGACTATACAATGACCAAATAAGGAAAATGTTAAAACCCTAACCAAAATACTTGAATAAAATAAAGATACGAACAAATCTAACTGTATCGGCAAACGAACCACAAAAATGGATGAAGTTATTGAAACACCACCTACAATTCGTAAATCAGAGTAAAGCAACGTGAGAAAACTATCAACGAATGCCAAACGTGTATCCAAATCAATCCGATGATCCAAAGCAGACAATATCAACATAATAACAAATAAACTCTATTTTGATCAGTTATGAAGATGTTAAATCCAACCTTAAGAAGAAGAAAAAGATAAACGAAAATAGTTGTCAAACAACCGGAAACTTCCAAAAGACGGAGATAAACGTGTTACAAAGACAGTGATAAACATGTCAAACTTATTCTTATTAAATAAATAAATGTTTTATTCAAATTTAAGTTAACAATATTATAAATAAAATAATGATATTAAAAATGTTATTGCATAATATGTAATAAAATTCTACTTTATTTAATTTAAAATTAGTTGACGATAGATAAATTAATAATCGATAATTAAGAGAATAATATATATTTACGTGAAATGTTAGATATGTTGGAAAACAATATTATTGTAAAATAAACAATTAGTATTAACTGGATGAATAAATTGAATTAAAAACTAATAATTCATATGATAATAATATCGTAAGAAAACTATTTGCTTAAAATTAAATTATTATAATTGAAAATATTTTATTAAAATTTATTTTAAAAAAATTAACATTTTAAATCACATTTAATTTAAACTATTGTATTTTATTTCATATTTTTAGTTATGTTCGTCTTCATTATTTTTTTAATCTTAAATTCGAATGTCAATTTTATTAAAAAGAAAAGAAACGCGTGTCAATTAGGCCGACGTACATCAAAATTACCCTAATTTTCTAGTGATAGAACCCTCTTTAAGCTTATATAATGCCGTGTCGTTCCTCCTACGGATCCACAATGGATGCTGTGAGCTGAGGTTCCTCGTCACAATAGAAAAAAAAAATGTAGAGGAAAAAAATAGAGCTTTTTCTTTTCTTTCTTTCTTTCTTCAGGTCATTCTCTTTCTTTGACTTGCCTTTGTGGGAAGATCCTCCTTTTTTGAACAGTCGTACTCTCCCTCTCTTTTTCCCACCGGCTGAAGCAGCTTCTACTTCCACTCAGTTTTTACCCGCTATCCATTTCGACCCGTCACTGCGTATACGTTTCTATACCTAATTTCTCTTCTTGATGAGCTACCAGCCGTTTTGTTATTCTGTCTGAGTCCTCTAGGGTTGCATGGGAGGCACGGGGATTTTTCCATTTCATTTGTAATTTAATGTGAAAGTTGTTACATAGATCTAAGTACCATCTAAACCTGCAATTTAATTGTTACCATTCTTTAAGGTGTTTTTATTAAATACCTGATGGGTGAGAGAGAGAGCTTTCTTCAGTCCACTCATGGGTGGGGATGGGATTTAATTAGCTGCCGACTCATTCATCCAAATACTGAGTTTGAAAAGGCCGGCCGGCCGAAGGTCACCCAGTAAATGAGTGAATGATGCGGGAGACAAATTTAATCCTAATCTTCCTGTGCTTGGACTGAAGGGAGCTCCCTCTGCTCTCATTTGATCTTTTTTTCTTGCTCATATCATGATTTTATCAGTACCTAAAGTTACTTTCCTCCAGGTTTTTCATGACAACCAACTCTTGTATATATTAAATAATTGTCCCCTGAATCTAGGGCTGAAGCTTATACTGTTTAAAGAACACCTGTTTTTTCATCTAAAGATGATTCCTTTCATTTACCCTTGATACTAGTAACTTTGAGCTTGGATTTGATTCTTCAACTTGGCGGTTGGTTTTAGGGTTTTACATATTGAATGAGTTTTCATGTTTTAGGGTTTTACATATTGAATGATTTTTTTTTATGTTTTAGGGTTTCACAGTGAAGTTGCTGTTGCGGTTTCTTGTGTAAAGCTCCACCTAAAAAGGCCAAGCGTATGAGAGGCGGCGAAGCTCACGTTCCACAAAAAAAAAAACCATCTTGGGTCTTGTACTCTAGCTGCAACAAGTTCCTAGACATGTCTCATCCTCCTCCCCCTCCCTGGTCATGTGCAATTACACAAATATCCCCCAAGTCAGTTTTAAGCTAGTGCCGGGACCAAGATTTGCAGAAGTCTGGCCAGCCCTTTTGTTTATTAGCTGTTGTTTTGGTGATTATATGATTTCCATTTCATGTAACGTATCGGTGGTGTATGTATGAGACGGTCTTCAAATGGAAGCATTTGATAAAGAAAACGGCGAGCAGTTGGGTCATTCCATAGTTCTAAAGTACTGTTAAAATTCATTACGTTTTAATGTTGTGGATGTGATTTACGGCATCATCAACTATTGTTATTATGCATTGCAACAGTAAATCAATATTATATCATTCACGATGCTATTGGACGAGCAAAAGAGATGTCCTCTCCAGCTGAGCTGAATTCCGAAGAAATCCTACTTTAAACATGGGCAATTCCGTGTATATATACATATAGGGGATGGATCTTGCAACATCTAAAAATTTTATATATGTTAAATTTTTTTATTGATAATTTATTATTGTCGTTAAATTTGTTTTATGTTAAAATATGTTAAGTTCATTTCCTCAATATAAATTTAATCATTTTTAAGTGAATTTGAGAGGTTTGAGAAGATAAATATTATATTTTAATCTAGTTTTATTAGATGATTATCGAAAGAGTACAAGTATTAAAAATATTGAATCTTTAGATGAGTTTTTATAAATTGTGTGAAATTAATTTGAAAGGAATAAGTATAGACGAAATATGAATATGTTAATATCGATCTTATTACATATGATTGATTGATAAATAATGAATATAAACCAAATTGATACATAAAAAGAAGTTTAATGTTAAAATTGAACAAGTTTAATGATAAAATCTATTAGTAAGCTAGAATTCACGGAAAAAGTAATCATATGGTAAATGGCTTTATTGTCCTAATTGAACTTGAAATTTATAACATTAAAATTGAAGTAAATAATGAAAATAATACGACATATCTAAAGTTCATTGATATTTGATATAATTTATCTATTATTTTCAATGTTATTTTCCTGTAAAAGATTATATGAAGAGAAGATAGATAAACAAAATCCCCCCTGGGCACCAACCAATTATGTTTTATGCATTTCTTTAGATCATTAGCTTCATTATGTCTATGAGTGGTTTCCCTTTTACCTTTCCAGGCTTACAAACACTATGCTAAATATGGGATCAAGATTTTCTTTTTGCGACTGACGAATCATCTTGCACCACCTTTAACAAGCACAACTGACTTAGTTTTTTGTCATTATTCTGATGAATGATGATAATAGTTTCTTTTTTATTTTCCTTTTATGGTCTTTATTCTTTTTTACAAAAAAGAAGTTAAATGATTCATATTTTAGATTCATATTTTAGGTACTATGTTGCCAGTAGTTTCAGATTGCAATTTCCATTGCCAATAATATGGCCGCAGGACCAGCTCCCTACTGTCCAGACCACTTCATTTCTCAGCATGCCATGCCACACTCCCTTCAAAGGAGCATTCAATTAAAAACCATACAACGGCCATATTAAATCATGGATAACGTTTTCAAACCCAACTAGCATCTGTGTGGGCGGTCCAATAATGTCATTTTCAAGGTTTATGGCCTAGGAAAGCGTGATGAAACATTGGGGGTTCAAGCACAACCATATTGGGGTCAAGAAAAGGGGATAAGATATGCCTCTAATGTAAACACGACATCAGCCACAAGGTCTCGGAACTTGAGCATGGAAGGGAATATGATGGAGATGTTTGAGGTTGGGCCTTGTGAAGATGACTTCCATCTGGGTTTTCTCATAGGTCAAAGGTTCCGTGATCAAATAAGAAGTAGGTTGGCCGGAGACCTCATTCTTCAAAACCAACTCCTTCCTTTTGCTCGAACCACACAAGCACAGCCGCTGATCAAAGCACTCTCGGAAACTAACCAGAACAAATTCCCAAGATACTGGGATGAACTTTTAGGGACTGCAGAAGGAAGCGGAGTGCCGATACTGCAGATAATACTTGTCAACTTGAGAAAGGAGATACTCCCGTTCATTTCAAAAGCAGCAATGAATTCAAATGCTGATACTGCAGATGACTGTTCTGATATTCTTATCGTTGGGGATTCGATGGCCATAGCAGCTCATAACGAGGATGCTAACGTTGCTCTAGTCGGACACACGTACGCTTTAGCTTCCTCTATCCTGTTTAGATTCTAGGAAAGAGTGCAATATGTATAAAAATCAATGTTCATAACATGTACCATTTCTCTGCTGAATTCACAGCTACTTGATCAAAGGAAAACTGTCAAATGGATTATCCTTCGTAGCTTACACATATGCAGGAGAGCTTCCAAGTTGTGCTTTTGGATTTAATAGTCAAGGGCTGGTAAAATTTCTTTCATGCATATGACTGTTTATAGAAAAGAAAAGAAAAGATAAAACATGATTGTCAATTCAATGAAATCAAATATTTCCTTCATACCTACCTTAGGCATTCACACTGAATTCAGTACCCCCAGCTGAAGCTGAGATTGTACCAGCTGGCATTGGAAGGAACTTCGTCTCTAGGGACCTTCTCGAAGCAACTAGCATCACAGATGCATTAGATGTAAGATCCTCTAATGTTTATTTCTTGTATCTGATGAAATTTAAAATCAGCCTGGTCATTAAGGTAGTGATAGATGGATTGATTCTAGAGAATACGCTCAGCAGAAGTTTCCGTGGGACACAGTTACAATTTAATTGATATACAGAGGCGCATGATCTTGAATGTAGAAACTGCATCAAGATCGAGAGTTTCAGTTCACGAGGTTGGCACAACACCATTTTTCCATGCAAACATGTATCTCCATCTTCAGGTTCAGCAGGTAAACAATAGAACATATAAGAGAAAGAATCCTTCTGACCAGCTTAGATGGCTGTTGGTGTCATTTTTCAGTTTCAGGTTGTTAGGAAAGTCTGTTATTAGCAGCTAACTGTTGGAGGGAAGGTTAGCTATTTGCAGTTCTCTTTCATTCAGTGTATAAATAAGCTGTTTAGACCATATCCGTACTCATCATCTGATAATTTCTCAAGAAATTACACACCCATTCATTATCTCTTCCTCTCTATTTTTGTAATTTCCCCTTTTTTAGATTCGATTGCTTTGTTCGAGAGTTATTCCCACAACCCTTAGTTCTCCTACTTTAGCCTTAGTCCCTAGCTACCAGAATTTCCTAGTATCACCATTTCAGGGCAAGAGCACCTCACCACCACCTTAATTGTCATGCCAAGTTTCACATTCAGCACATTAGAGCTGATATTATCTTACGGCTAGATTTATAAATGGCCACTGAGCTGAATCTCAAAATTGTCATTTTGTCCTATCGACTTACAAGGAATAGCAGTGAAAAAGCTTTCTATATGATAAATCCAGATGTATTGAACTGAAATAAATGTTTTGCAATATAGGTACATGACGAGAACTCAATAAGCAGGAAAAAAAGAGCATCTGCTCTACCACAAGGATCAAAAACCGATTTTCTGTCTCTATTAGGTGATACAGAAGATACAAAGTACCCCATCTACATGACAGGTAAAAATTGAAGGATGGGAATGTAGAGCAGCTTCTATTCAATGGTAATTTGTAAACTAAAACTTACTCTTATTGGTATTACTGCAGGTCCAACTCTTTATACACTCTGCACGGCTCTAATTGATTTGGATGAAAAAACACTTACAATAATTGAAGGAAATCCAAAGAAGGGAAAAATTTCTCATGTCTTCTCAATGTCTTCAAACGATTTCAACAGCGAATCGGTCGACTCTGGTTAATGGGCATCTCTAGAACATTTTATGCTGGTTCATAGAGGCCAACCATGTGACCATCAATGCAACGCATGGCGGCAACCTGAAAATAATGATGAAATTCAGACTGGCAGCTTCAGTTCACTATCGAGCTAAGCATAAGAATATCAGGGGTGAAGAAATAATGAAGTTAATACCTTGCCATGGATTTCATATTTGATGGGACCATCTAGTTCAGCTCCTAATGCCATTAGTTTTGTTACCGTACTGTTAATGTCACTCACCGTGAATGATAAAACTGAAGAGTAACCATTCTGGATCACATTATCACTGTCAAACAAAACTGGGTCAGAATTATCTATTTTCAACACAGCTTTTACTCTCTTTCTCTCTTTATTTTTCATGGACAATCGTATAATTATAAAAGCTCAGTAAATCTCGGACTACACAAAATCTTACTCATTTTGTGCATCTCTAACCAAGATCAAAATCATCAAAGAAAACTGAATGAACTTCCATGTCGGTAAAGCAATAATGTTGAAGTAGTACCATGGGGATTGCATTAGAGCAAGCTTGAGAGGACCAGACTGAAGTTCGGCCCACCGAAGCGTGCAGATGTTGACGGAGAAGTCGAGACCTTGCGAGTAGAACTTCGTCGCCTTGGGAACGTCCCTGTGGAGTTGGAGCAACCACCTAAACGACGCCGCCGCCATCGCCCTCCTTTTCGATTCAATTCCTCAATTTGCAGCTGCTCAGCCCAAAACATCCGATGCCATCTTGTATGTTACCTTTATGAGTTTCCCTAAGGCCAGGCCCAGACCCAACATACCAAAATGGAAAATAACATTTTTGGTGGATATGTATTATTATTTAATAATGATATAAGATTATAATATTTGATTAATTAATTAAAAATATAAAATTATTTCTTAACAATTATTCTTCATAATATTATTTTTTAAAGTAAATTTTTCATAATTTAAAGGTAATATTGTCTGATTCGATTCGAATTGATTTCGAAAATAAGATGAGAATGCCACAATTTTGACCAGAACTAGACATGAAAAATAAGATTTTCGAAAATATATAATCTAAACAATTCATTGGGATAAAGTGAATTAAATCAAAATTGTAACTTCATCTGATTCGTAGCTATACTGTGATATTAATACTCAAATATACAGACAAAAATTTCCAGAATTACAGATTGCAACATGGAGCATTCTTATAAACCACAATGTTGGACTGAAAAGCAATGCAGATGCAGCCATTCCCGGAGTTAACCGAGTTCTTCAGCTTATTGTTCAAAGTAAAAACACCACTTTGAGCTATGACTTGCCCTTGAATATTTTTAAACGAGAACGTTGCCCTTTGGACCTTGCTTCAAGAAGCTTGGCCTTCAAAGAGTGATCCTTCGTAGCTGGAGGTAGCTTCGAGGAAGATTTCGACAAGTCCATCTGGGGTGTAATTTTCGTCATCCATTGCCGCACTGGGCTAGGCTGGTTCCTCCATGGAGCGTAACTACAAGAAGCCTCACCACAGTCGTTTTCCTCGTTCATATTCCTGCCTTCCGACAATGTGGTATGATTTCTTATCAAGTTGTCCGGTACATAATTTGAGCTTAGTCCATGTATCTCATCAAGCTTATTCTTTCTTCCCTTGTTGCTATATTGAGTAGCTTGTTTTTCCAAAATTGTTGCTTCAGTGGTGTTCCCTACAACAAGTTCTTGTTCTATATGTGCCAACTGGACTTTTTATTTTCATTACTCGTAGCTCTGGCCATCTTTTCTTCAGATTTAACTTGCAAGCCGGATGGATGCCGACTTTTAATCTTCTCATGAGATGAAAGTTTTTTCTCAACATGATTTGATTTCATTAGTTCCTCGCCGTCACAGATTAGAGCTTCATCTTCATGTGAATTCATGCCGGCACTGCTTGGTTTGTTCAGCTCAAAACAATTTGAATGATTACTATCAGAATCTTCCTCATCACAAACATCTTTACTTGCACTTACAGCCTCATTTAAAGGGATCGATTCAAGTGACTTCCTTCTATCCTTTCGTGACAAATAATCAGTACACTTGGAAACCGAACTACCAATGTGTTTAGCTTGAAGGAAGGCCTCTATTTCAAAACCTAATCTGTCTACTGTTGAATTCTGTTCAGAGAAACCAGACTGAGCTTCTTCTAGTTTAATTTGTGCCCGCTCGTCAAGCCATGATTCAGATATATGAAGAATCAAACGATCGTGGTCAGCCACTCCTGTCCAATCTTCGTTGGATTTCTGTCTTAGTGTATGCACCTCCTGTTCGTAGCTTTTGATTCCCTTGGCAAACTCATCGCAAAGATTTTCCAAAGCTTCCTTGATTTCCTTTCCCTGTCAAGGTCTTTCAAGGCATTAGAAAGAGAAACTTTTATCTCAGAGACTTCATGAGCTAACTTCCTGTGTAGATTCTCGGATCGTTTTCTTAACTTTCTTTCATCTTCTAGCTCATCCCTTGCCGACTGTACAGCAGCATGAACCCGGTCCTGTTCTTTACTCTTCCAAACCAATTTGTCTTCAGCAATCTGCTTCATCAAACCATCAATTTCGCGACGACATGCTTGCTGATCTCGTAGCAAATCCTTGATCCTAACACGGGCATGATCTAATTCTTTCTTCAATGCTTTAATCAATGATATATTGGATGCATGTTGTTCTTCCAGACTCCAAATATGGTTTAGTACTTTCAGCAGTTCTGTAGATGTTTTGAGATTATAATGTGACTCACCGATTCTTCCCCTAAAACATACGGAACTGCTAGGTGTGACTGCAGGATTATAAGGTGCCACCTGAAAAGGGAGGAAATGCATGTTGAGACTATAGATGGGCCGGAATGTGAAAAAAACAAGAGGGAAAGACCTACAAATAAGCAAACAATACATAAGTGATTCCTAAGGAGGATCTTATATGGGAAAGGAAGTTATCTGCATTCAATTTCCGCACCGTTGTTTCTGTTAATATCAACGTTTAAGAAATTCTAATCAAATGCATTCATATTAACTCAAATAACACCCTATTAACTCAATTCTCAAATGCTTTCCCAGGACAAGCATCCTATGTATTTCTATGATTTGAATAAAACACAAGATATATATATATATATATATATATATATATATATAATGTAGATGTCATGAACACCCAGCTATGCTATTATCAACTTAGAACCTAACTCCATAACATAAAGAATTAAATTTTAGTTAGAGATTTAGGGGAAATTAGTCAGACCATAACCAAGACGAATCAACTTGGTCACAAGGCTCATGCTTGTCTTCCCATATGCAGGACTCCTAAAAACCATTCTTCCCTTAGCTCTAAGTCGAGTAGCTTCAGTTGAAGTATCAATTTAAGAAAGAACTATATTCGTTCGGCTTGGGGGCTTTGTAGCTTATGTTTCTTATATAGTAGATATATTGCTGCTGATGCTGTAGGTTGTATTGGTTTGATTGCTACATGCAACTATGCATTTGAGCCGTGTGTGCGACCAAATTTCCTATTATGCAAATATCCATTTTCAGTAGGAAGAAAAGAAAATTCACCTCCATTGAACTGCCATAGCTTGCAGGCGATACAGGCTGTAGGACATGATTATTGTTTCCAATCGATCGATGGTGTTTCATCAGTGTTTGAGCAATATGCCTCCTCAAACTGCTAGAACTCTCTGGCTGATATAAGAAACAAAACAGAAAGTTAGAGACAGAAGGTTTTTTTACAACCTCTAAAACTTTGTTCTTGGCTGAAGACATTGTCCTGAAGGCACCATAGACTGGATTAAATCAACTACTACTTTGCTGGGTCATATATTTATTAATAATTATTTATAAAATGATTCTCATTCTTCATTCATTGTAAGCCAGTTTAGCACCATTAGGTTTTAAACTTGTTTAGAAAGGTTGACAAATTATTTTTTCCCTAATCACACGTGAAAAAAAGAACATTACAAACTTATAATCTAATCTAACAGACAAGAAAAACTCTATGGATCAACAAAAACATAGTAAAAATTTTGGCATATGGATCATATGTAGACGGAAAATATAGATTTATCAACATAAACTGTAAACATCATCTCAACCCAGTTGGAAAAGAAGAAGAAGAAGAACAAACATATTCTAATTTACCAAATACAAGACCCAAATTACCAAATCAATCAACACCAATCTCACCAACTAATAGGAAGGGGGAACCCTTAAAAAAAGGAAAATGCACATGCACCTAAACAGAAGTAAAGCATGGAACAAAAAAAAGGAACTGAAATACCTGGTCAGGGTCGGAATTGGGCCTAGGGTCAGCCAAGAAATGAGAAAAATCAACGGCTTTGTTCTGGTGGTGGTGACGTTGGTGGTACCGGCCATTAGTGTTGTTAACACCATCTCTATGCATTTTATAATGGGGAGGGTAACGATGGAACTCCCACAATGAAGCCGCTAACTTCCTTGCAGAAACAGCTGCAGGAGGAGGAGGAAGAGGAAGAGGAAGAGGAAAAATAGTTGTAATGATGAAGGAGAGCCTGAGAGTCGTAAAGTTTCCAAAGAGTGGGGTACAGAGACCTCTTGTTTTCCTATTCCCTACCAATAATACCCTCCGACTCAACATTTCACGCAAATTTTCCTCCTGTTCTGCCAACCCTTCTCCACTTTTTTCTGCCCTTTTTCATCTCTCTCGCTCTCTCGCTCTCTCGCTAGCTTCAGAAGTGTTCTATACAAAACTAGCCTATCATTTTCTTTTCTTTCTACTGTTTCTTTGCTCTGGGTTGTAGTTTCTACAGTATTTTTTAAGGGTGTTCCTTCTTTAAGAGAATAGTACTGTGATCGATCTTCCATGAAGCATTGACAAACAAACAAACAAAAAAAAAGGTTTAATTTTTGAATTGATTGGATTACCTGTCAAGCATTTAGTTGGGAACCGCCGAATATCTAACATAAATCTTCAAAAGTCTTTTATTTTGTTTTGAATTTTATGTAAAAAATGGTTTAAGATTTATCCCTTATATTAGTTTATCCCTAAAATTGTAATGAAACCAAAGTTTATATAATTTGTATACACCGCGATATTAATTAATCAAAATATACAAACACAAAACAAAACTTTCTAGAGTTATATATTGCAACATGCAGATTAATGTGCATCATGGCGGGTATTCATATAAAACACAATGCTCGCTGATCACGTAGCACATCTTTAATCCTAACACAGACATGATCTAATTCATTCTTCAATGCTTTTATTAATGATATATTGGATGCATGCTGTTATACCAGGCTCCAAATATGGTTTAGTACTATCATCAGTTATACCGCCCCAAATCCTGAGTTACCTAAATTAAATAAATTAGTTAGTTAAAGGCTTGTTCTAAATTTGGACTTAGTTGGTCTTGGGTTGAGTCCAATAAGAGATAAAAAAAAGGGTATTTTTAATATTAAGATGGAAGAGGGAGGATTAGAAGTGCAATTAACCCTTTTTTCAAAACAAAAGCTGAAGATGATCTCATGTTTGTTATTCTCCTCCTTTATCCCACCAAACAATCTTCCTTGTCTCATTCTTTTATTCTTCTTCCTCTTCAATTGTTGAGCGAAAGTAGACGCTTTTAGATTTACAAATTTAGTTTGAATTTGACATGGTAAGAATATTCATCCCCACCCTTCAAGCTTTCATCCCTAAAATCAAGTTTTGACCATAGAAACTAAAAATGAGTGTTCGTGGGAGTTTAAGAGACCAAGTGATTCCAGCTTGTTTTTAGTGGATTTAAGTTTTTAGA